TTTATCATCCAGGCTAGGCGAATATGGTAGCGGATTCCTTGAATCGGAAAATAGTTAGTATGGGTAGTCTAGATTTCTTATCTATTATGGAGCAAATTTAGCTTTGGGCATTCAGTCTTTAGCTAATAAGATGATTCCATTATATATTTCAAATTCCAAACATATCTTAGCCTGTGTGGGAATTCAGTCTTTCTTTCTTGGTCGGATTTGTGATTGTTAGTTTGATGATGAGACTTTGGTGGCGCTTCAAGATATGATCTCAGCGGGTGAAGCAGGTCAGGCTACTATAGATTCAGATGGGGTTTTGAGAGTTGTAGGTCGTATTTGTGTTTCAAGAGTTAGGGGATTGATCCAGCTGATACTTTGTGAGGTACATGATTTTAGATACTCTATCCATCTAGGCACCACAAAGATGTATCTTGATTTGAGGCAACATTATTGGTGGAGCAGCATAAGGTGAGACATTGCAGACTATGTGTCCTGTTGCTAGAGTTGCCAACAGGTGAAGGCTGAGCATTTGAGACCTAGTGGTGAGTTTTATAGATTACCTATTATGGAGTGGAAGTGGGATCACATCACTATGGACTTTGTGGCAGGTTTGCCTCAGACTTCTAAAGGTGTTGATAGCATTTGGGTCATTGTTGATCGATCTACATGTTCAGTCTTTATTCAACACTAAGAGGTTGGCTGCATCTATATTCGATAGATGGTTCGTCTTCATGGTGTCCTTGTCTCTACTATATCCGATCAGGGTGCTCAGTTCACTATTAGCTTTTGGAGGAGCTTTTAGGAGGAGTTGAACACTCGTGTTGATCTTAGCATAACTTTCCACCCACAGACTAATGGTTAGTCGGAGCATACTATTCAGGTTCTTAAGGATATGTGGCAGACCTGTATTTTGTAGTTGAGACTAGTTCTTTCCTTTGACGAAGTTTGCATACAATAACAACTACCACTCTAGTATTTAGATGGCCCCGTTGTCACTCTCTGGTTGGTTTGAGTCTACAGATTCTAGACCCATGGCATAGACTTGATTTAGGAAGCTTTGGGCTAGGTGAGAGTTATTTAGGATAAGCTTCAGATAGCTCATAGTAGGCATCAGAGTTATGTTGATCGTAGGTGGCAACCTTTGAGGTTTTTTAGTTGGTGATAAAGTTTTCCTCCTTGTGTCGCCCATGAAGGGGGTGATGAGATTTGAGAGTCGGGGCAAGCTTAGCCTAGGTATATTAGGCTTTTTGAGATCCTCTAGATAGTTGGTGAGGTTGCTTATGAGTTGGATCTTCCTCTAGTATTCTCAGCTATCCACCCATTTTTCCATGTTTCGATATTGCATCGATATGTTCCTAATGAGTCTCATAGGCTCCAGTATCATGTAGTAGAGTTGGATGTCCATTTGACTTTTGTAGAGAAGTTAGTTTCTATTTTACCTAGAGATATGTAGTGGTGGCGTTCGAGAGACATTTATATGGTTAAGGTCTGTTGGAGGCATTGTCCAGTTGAGGAGGCTACCCAGAGACCGAGCAAGAGATGCGCGAGCAGTTTCCTTGCTTATTTGAGCCTCCAAGTACTTCTTGACTCTTACTTTTGCAAACGAAAATCATTTTTTAGTAGTGAATGTTGTAATGACCCTCTAGGTTATTTTTGTGTTTATGCCTTTTGTTAGTCATTTAGAGCGTTCCTATAATGACCCCAACTCATTTATGGCTTGTTGTGACTAATAATTCGGTCGCCTAGTCGTTTATTTGGTTTTTATGTGAGTTTTTGTGTTGTGGAGATTTTGAACCTTGATCAACCATTTTTTATCAAAAATTCAAGAATATGACATCAAAATCCAATTTTAACGACTCTATCAACTCTGAAAGGGTCATTTCAGGCTAGGAGCATAGTCGACACAACTCCCAAGGCCTTCGGTGCTAGTCTGTGCAATTAGACATTTTAACTTTCAAGTTAAGGCCTAAGTTTGACTTTAGTCAATATTCTGGGTAAATCCGCTCGGATGAGAATTTCATCAATGCGGTTAGCTCTAGAATGTTGAGTTTGGTTTAGAGCGACTGTTCATTCGGATCTCGAGGCTTCCAGGCTAATTCTGATCCCCTTTTATGGATTTTTGCTTAAAATGAAATTTGGGGTGGGACCCCCTTTTTGCCGAGATGACCTCGTATGAAAATTTATATTGTTTCATTGAGTTCGGAATGTCAAATTTTGTAAAGTTGCATATCTCATTTTACGTGCACATCGTTCTTAATGAATTCAAAACACCCATAAAATATTTTCAACTTGCCAAAAACCAGTTGAAATGCATCAGGTAATGCAGACCAAAATGGCCTTCACGGAGCATTGGCAGCCTGGTGGCCGCGATTGCGGGGCCTTCGCTGTTCGCAAGGCCCGTGTTCACAGGATTTCCTTGCCACGATCGCGGAATCCTCACCACGTTTGTGAAAAAGAGATCAGATTGGTTTTATTTAAAGACCAGTCACATTTTCAGCTTGGAAATCAATATTCAAAAGGTGATTTCTATCTCATTTTAGCTCGAATTTGGGTGATTCAAAGTATTACGCATTTGGAATTGTCGAGGCTATGCTATGGAGTGATCAAAAGTTGTTGGGAAACTCTTGTTTAAGGTGAATTATGTTTTTTCGAGTATGTTTCGGTTCTTTTTATGTGTTTAATTGTTGAATTATGCATGTTGGTTGAATTTACTGTTCTGAGCCCCCAATTTTGCTCCATTTTGGAACACAAGCTCGGGGTGTTGTTTAGGACCCTTTGACGTAGTCAATTTCGATGTGGGTCCCATGATTCTCGTTTGACTCTAGAATTGATTCATCTATATTTAATATGTTTTTGGTGTCTAAATGATTGTCTTGACGTTGTGATCTTATTTTTATAATGTGGCAGCATTCGGAGGCCGTTTAGAAAGAAAAATATCCAGTCTTGTGATTCGGAAGCGCGTGCGATCAGCCTACGGGTAGGCTATGACTTTTCTTCTATTAGATTGAGCTTGAATGCATAAATGCATGCTGATTAGAATGAATTGGGGACGAGTACCTAGTTGTTCTTATTTTCCTTTTCTTAGATATCATGTTTAGGCTTGATTGTTTGTATCTTCGGGTATAGTACCATGCTAGTAGGGATTGTATGTGGTCCATGTTGTTGTGACTTGACTTGTTATTGATATTTGTTATATATTTGAGCATGTTCGGCATTAGTCTAGGTTTAGACTAATGTTGCCTTAGACTTGCGATCCTTGTAGCCTTGTTTCTTCTCCGACGTCATTTTGGACGGACTAGATCCTTGTATATTAGAGTAACAGACTTGAATTTGATAGTATGAGCCTTAGTTTAAGCTTTTTTGCAGCTTATTGATCTTTTATTCTCTCCCCCTATTTCTACGACTTTGATACGTAACCAAAGGTTTGTGCTTTTGTGACGATTTTGGATTCGATTGTTTTAGGCTTGGAGCCTTTTGGTGATTCTTTATGAGGTGACTTAATATTGGTATATGAGATTCTTTTTGGAGTCGACACGTCCCTAGGTCACTCTTGCTAGCTGGGCGGCATACACCCTGGGAGTAGACTGACTAGCTAAGTGACCTTGATATATGAGATCCTCTTCGGAGTCGACACACTCCCAGGTCACTCTTACTAGCTGGATGGGGAGCCTAGATTGATTGTCACTCTTTCTAGTTGGGATGAGAGCTGACTGGGTTGATAAGTATTTATGGTTACTTGGGCTGGGAGCTCAACTTTTGCTTCGTGGTACTCCTCTCTCGGTAGACTTAACTATTATGTGTATATGTCAGGCTTATGGGGTCCATTCGAGTTCTACTTAAACTTGCGCACGAGTGTACCTTTTGGGCTTATGGGTCCAGTTATGTTCAATTTAGTTGCACTTAGACTTACTTTCAATATGCTTATGTGCTTTCTTTCATATCTGCTTCTTTTCATATTGTTTTTACCTTGTTTGCTCAATCGACTTATGTTTGCTACTGAGTACCTGTGTTTTGGTACTCATGCTACACTTTGCATCTAATTCGTGATACATGTCCTAGTACTTGCTACTGACGGTGATTGTTCGTGCCATCTTCAACAACTTTGTGGATCAGAGACGTGGGTGAGCACTTGGCGGCCAGTCTCTTTCTATACATATTTAGCTAGTCTTTTGCCTTTGATACGACTTTACTTTTGGTCCACTTTTGGGACTTGTACCCTTATTCTTAGACAACTCTATACTTGTGACTTACAAGGTTAGAAAGGGATTCTCTTGTATATAATTTTTGGCTTTTCTCTCGCCTCTATTACGTATGTTGTTGTAATTTAATTTCTGTTTAGTGCTACCACTATACTCATTACTTGTTGTCTGGATTATAGGTTGACTTACCTACTGATGGGTTATAATAGATGGATTACAGGTTGACTTACCTACTGGTGGGTTATAGTAGGTGTCATCATGACTCGAGGAATCGGTTCGTGACATATCATTAATAATATACAAAGATATTTATAAGATTATGCTCAGAACTTACCTGAAATATAGGCAAAATATTGTGGTTAAATTATAAATACACCCAAATAAGTCACATTTGTCATGAAACTAAACTTTAGAGGCTGAAAGCCACTTACCTTTGCAACGGAGCTCACAGGGCAACCCCTAAGGTCTACGATAAGCCTCGTAGCGCACCCCCTTTTCTAGGTATTTTATGGCCTGATAAGGTATATGACAAACCTCCTAAGTCCTAACTGAGATTATAAATTAGACAGTATGAGCTCAAATAGTATGTTATCGTAAAAAACTTCCCTAATAAAAGTACTAATTATTTTCATATGCTTGATTTATCATCTTGATTTCTCAAAACAAAAATCCAAATAAAATTTCAAAAAAAGTTTATCCTAAAATCTATATGCAAACACTAGCTCAAAACAATATTTTCTAGTTGATTGAAAAACAATTTTTTTTTCAAGAATAAAAAGATTATTTAATTTAATAATCACAATTCACAAATAGAGTAATCTCACAGTCCCATGTCACAAATTAGCTGCAACGTGCAAAAATGCAGAGTTCTTTGGACACTGAAAAACCCATTTCAAGTGGATCCATATCAGGGCCAGACTCGGTCGGGTTTCTAATCGGTCAAAGGGTCCATTTCGTCGGAGATACCCACCGGATCGGAACTGTGAAGTACGTCGGAGCAGTGGAAGGCTATGGGGGAAACTGGGTCGGTGTTGATTGGGACAATGGTGACGGTAAGCATGATGGGTCACATAACGGGGTTCGCTATTTCGAAGCCCAAGGTCCAAAATCTGCTTCATTCGTACGACCGCACAATCTTAGCTCCGGTTTCCCACTCCTGAAGGCCCTTGAGTTAAGGTATCATGGAGAATCCACTAAAGAAGAAGAAGGTAAAATTAACTGTAATTGATAATTGCTGTCATTGTTCCGGCAATACTCTTTTTCTTTACTCCATTATTGCCATTTTCTTTTGTGCTTACTTCTTGGGTGCCCAAGACTTTTGCTTTCGCTAGACGCTGATTTTTGTGGTGCTTTTTTTAAATTTCTTTTTAATAACAGTGGTGATTAATTTCATAGGATACGAAAGAAATCACCGTGTGTTCTTGTTTCTGCTGGGATCTGAGAGAAATTGTAGAAGTAGTATGTTAAGCTTAGTTTCTTCTTTTTCTCAAAGTGTTTTGCATTTGTAATTTTTTTCTTTTTCTTAATGTCCTTGGTGTCCGGGCTTGCTTTGACGCAACTCGACTAATTCCACAGTTATTAAGGCTAAGACAAATGGGAAGAATCACCTAGTGCTGAGTTTTGAAGTGAGACCTTAGGTTCTCAACCACTTTATTGACCACTAGGCCATATCTTGGGTGCACATGTGTATTTTATTTTGTTTTCCCATTTATTTTTTGGACTATAAAATGCTTTTTTCTTATCAAAAGAAAATTAAATGTTTTAAGAGTTGCCTTTTAGGTTCTGTTGGCAAAATAGAATTGCGCTGAAAGATATGTGATTTAACCACATCAAAAACAAAAAAGAGATATGTGATTTAACTCTGTTAAGGAAAGATTACATGTATCTGAATCAACAGCTAATATAGTCCTGTCAAGTGAACAAGTCAGCCAATCTCACTGTGTAGTTTCAGAAAGCATAGGAGCTAGGAAGTCACTCTCCCGGTGTCTCAACTATACCTACTAAATGCAGCATGGATAGTTAGTTTCTTGGGATCGGAAGCTATGCTTTTCAATGACGGTTTCTATTTGGCTCCAACTTTTACCTTAATTTTGCGATCATTTCTTATCTTGTTGAACAAAGACATCGTTCTTTGAGCAGCTATATACTTCTTTAATTTTTTCTTCTGCATTATGCTCCAGATGAGATGTATGTTCTTTCTGCGTCAAACAAAAGGGTTTCTATTGAGCTGCTGGGTAAAGATAAAATTCAAAACAAGCTGAGTCAATTTGAGGAGTTGACAAGTGCATCACTTGCTTATTTAGGGGTTAGCTCAGCTGGACCCCCGGGTCATATCAATACGACTATACCAAGTAATTATGTGCTTCTCCACGTGCCTACTTTTTCCTAGTTGTACATGATTGTTCCTTCATATTTTAAAGCTTTGATTTGTCATTTCCAACTTATGTGATATATGCATTTTCTGTTAACTGAAGTCCAAGACTTTAATTATGAGGAAGTCGAGTATGAAATTTCTTATCTTCTTCTGTATCATACCGATTACCGATTTATTAAGGTTTGGCCAGGAAGGAAGATATGAGTTTTTAGTCTTTTATTTTCTAGAGTTGTTTATCTTGTCAACTTCACATTTATAGTTGACTGTCCATCTTTTGAAAAGCTTCTTGCTTACAGTTATTCCAAATTGAGTTTCCATGTTTGACTTGATACAATCATAACAAAGAAGAGTTCCCTGCAAAGTATGAAGTGTCAATATAAATATCCATATGGGATACATCAGCTGGATTGCACCTATGCCTGGATAGTACAAACTCAATACTGATGGAGCCACCAAAAATAATCCATGTGGGGAAGTTTTGAGTGGTATTATCAGGGATAGCAATGCGAATTGGGAAGTTGGATTGTCGAAATGTATCCCCTTCTCCTCAAATACCTTTGGTATCCTATTCACCACAAATATCATTGCAGCAATCAGTGCTGTCTTGAGAGGCCTCCAAATAACCCTTCAATATGGGTTGCACCAATTAATTATTGGAATTGATTCTTAGGAAGCTATAAAATTATCACTCAAGACAATGTGTATGCTCTAATATTGTAGATGACTACAGATTAATCTTGGATAAGCTCTTGGCCCCCTTTACAACATTTCTACCGTGAAGCTAACCAGCAACCAGGTGGCTAATGCTTTGGCAAAGGAAGGCTGCAAGTTGGATAGCCGGACCAGCTTCCATCCACATATATTAATCCATTAGGAGCCTGCTACCACGTCCAAGCCTACCAAATGTACAAACACAGATGTCGAGTAAACCCATGCACCAAGGTAAGAGAAGGTGTGTTCAAACTGAGTGTTGTAGATGGGATTTGAACTTAGCATCTCGATGTTGTCGCTTATATGCCTCAACAACTCAAACCATACCATTGAGGATGATAGTATTTGGGTTCTTATCTGGACTGAATGCTTGTTTTTTTTTTGGTAAATAAAAGAATGTTATTCCCAAAAGTAATAGTTACAGCACTGGACATTGCTGACCAGTTGTCACTCAAGCAAACAAACTATCTGGAGTAGGACTCACTCTAACATGCCTAAGGAGTCACTACTCATAATGAGAATTTAAAAACAAAATACAAACTCAGTAAGTACAACAATCTAAATAAATAAATCCGTAGGGAAGCAAGTTAACTACTGTAAGGAGATCACAAAAAGACAACTTCATGGCATTGTAGCTAACTGCTGAGGCTATGCATACCATTTCTTTTGATTCCTTCCTCTGACATTGATATGAATAGCTATCTCCTTACAAATTCTGTCAACTTGGTATTTACCCCTCTGGAACCTGATCATATTCCTCTCTCCAAATGATAGTGATCACATTGCAAAGACACATCATATGATAGCACCTTTTTTTGCTCTTTTTTTTTTTTTTTTTGATAACCGAGAAATCCGTCTGTGACCCGCCCTTTGGACCAATCACAGCCTTTTTTGCTCTCTTTTTGGCCCAGCTGATGACCCAATCTATCTCATGTTGCCAGGTTCTTTTAGGTCTCATACAGCCCATCCACTTCAACATCCTACACCACACAATCCTTGTGTAAGGCTGTCAAAGGATAGATGATCCTGTGTTTCCACATCATTGTTGCAAAACACGCATGATGAGTCCACTTCAACCCTATATTTGACAAGTCTATCAACAGTAGTTAGCCTCTTTAGCTAGGCCAACCACAAGATGAAATTATGTCTAGGATGAATGTTAGCCTGAAGAGTGATGCACTTCCATGGTACTTTTGGGAGTTGTGACAACAAATCTACATACAACTTTTTGATGGAAAATTTAGCCCCTACTGTCAACAACTCTAGTCTTGCAAAGAGATAACCCTGAAGTCCTAGGCCTGCATGACAATTTTCTTGGAGTCTATTATCTTCCTAATCACCCAGGTAGCAATCCTAGGGGTGTTGCATGTTTCCACAGTCTCCCCTTTCATATAGTAAATATTCACCCATTTGATCCATAGATTGTCCTCCTTTGTAGCTAAAGCCCATAATTGTTTAGTTACTACAGACCTGTTCCAATTACATAGATTCAAAACATTTTGCCCCCCTACTACTTTGGGCATACAAACACTCTCCCAAGAGACCAATGCTCTTTTGGATGGACGTATAGAACCTGTCCATAAGAAAATCCCGCAGTGACTAATGAAAAGCTTCATGATCCTCTTTGGGAGGATGAAGATCTGGGCCCAATATGTTTGGATACCAAACACTATAGATTTATCAATTGAAGCCTACCAGAGTAAGCTAGTAGTTTTGCTGACCAGCATCTCATTTAGCAAGGATTTTATCAACTAGGGGATGACACATTGGTATTCTGTGAAGCTGAGCAGGAACAAATTTTCTACTTAAGAGTGATCCTGGTGGTCTTTGAGGCTTGGTCAGGATTAAAAGTAAACTGGAGAAAGAGTAGCATTTTTCCAATTAAGGAAGTGCAACAGATTGAGGATCTTGCAAGCATTTTGAAGTGCAAGATAGAGAAGCTCCCAACAGTTTACCTTGGCATGCCTTTGGGCTCCGAGCACAAAGTAGAAAAAATTTGAGATGGCATTATTGATGTTAAAGAATGACAAAAGTCCCACATCGGTGGTTAATGAGATGGGTGGACTCCTTATAAGGCTTGGACAATCCTCCTCCCTTTGAGCTAGCTTTTGGGGTGTGAGTTAGGCCTAAGACCTAATTTAACATGGTATCAGAGCAGGGCCCGTCTCACCCAATATTGGGGCCCCCAAAATAAAAAATTGCCCACGCACCAGATGCTAAGCACTGGGCGTGAGGTGGGGTGTTAAAGAATGACAAAAGTCCCACATCGGTGGTTAATGAGATGGGTGGACTCCTTATAAGGCTTGGACAATCCTCCTCCCTTTGAGCTAGCTTTTGGGGTGTGAGTTAGGCCTAAGACCTAATTTAACAATTGAGAAAACAGAGAAGAAATTGGCTATATGGAAATCTCAATACCTATCTCTGGGAGGTAGAGTTACACTAATTAACTCAGTTCTGGATTCTTTACCCACTTATGTGATGTCCCTCTTTCCTATTCCTAGTAGGATAGTGAAGGTTTTAGATGCACTCAGAAGGAACTTCTTATGGCAAGGGAACAAGATAGAAAAGGGATTCAACCTGGTGAAATGGTCTGTAGTACAACAAAGCAAGAAAAATGGGGGGCTGGGAATGAGAAATTTAAAAGTTCATAACAGGAGCCTCCTCTCAAAATGGTTGTGGAGATATAATCAGGAGGAGCAGGCTCTATGGAAAGAGATTATAAACCACAAATCTGGGCATGAGGACTTCTGGTGCACTAGTGAAGTTAATGAAACTTATGGGGTTGGGGTGTGGAGGACCATCAAAAACCTTTGGGAGAGTCTAAAGAACAACTCACAAATTGTGGTGGGCAGAGGAGACAAAACAAAGTTCTGGCTAGATGATTGGTGTGGAAATGGGATTTTGAGGGACTTGTTCCCTATTTTTTTTTCTCAATATGCACAAATACCAACAACAAGATGGAGGAGATGTGGTCACCACATGGTTGGAATATAATATTTAGAAGACTGCTAAATGACTGGAGATTGATGGAATGGTGGAGTTTTTGGGCTTGATTGGTGGATTCCCATGTACTACTCTAGAGCTAGACAGATTAGCATGGGGACATCACAAAGATGGGGTATTTTCTGTGAATAGATTATACAACTGGGGAATTAAAAGAAGTGCAGGAAGATCCATTGGACCTTGGAACAAAATATGGAAAAGTGTGGCTCCTGCCAAGGTGAAGTGCTTTGGTTGCTAGGAAAAAATGTTTGACTCATGAGGCAATGCAGAAGAGGCGCATCAACATAGTATCCAGATGTCTCCTTTGTAAAGAAGCTCTGGAGACTAACAAACTCTTATTCATGCACTGTAAGGTAACTGCTCAGGTGTGGGCTCTGTTTTTACAAGCATAGCCAATGAATATTGGACTATGCCTGAACACACCTCTGACCTTCTTAGTTGCTGGATCAAAAGGAGAGGCAGCAAAAATCAGAAAAGATGGTGGAGAACAGTTCCAGCATGTATCTGGTGGATTATATGGAAAGAAAGGAGAATTTTTGAAGGAAAGTAGTGTACAATACAGAAGATCAAATGGAAAGTAATTACTACTTTAGGTTTTTGGTGTAAAGAACAGGATATAGAAGAGGAGTTCCAATTAGTGGATTTCATAGGTTCTCTGTAAGTATTTCTTTTTAGTCTTTTACTTGTCTTGTAACAGTTTTTTGGAGGTGGCTAGCATAGCCCTTAATGCTGAGGAATACAAAAAGTTACCAGTTTCAAAAAAAAAGAAACATTGGTCTACTGTTAGTTTCTTGGAGGAAAGAGGCACTCCAAGGTATTTACAAGGCAGAGTCCCTTCACAGTAGCCAAGTTGCTGTAGTAATTGATGTTTTGCTGAGTCTTTAACCGCAAATATAAAGATGGAACTCTTGTCTATATTTGCCTAAACTGGAAGCTGCAGAGAACTTTTGAAAGGCCCCTTGTATCAACTCAATAGATGTACTATTTGCCCTGCAAAACAACAATAAGTCTTCAGCAAAACATATGTGCAGTAAACCAAGCTTCTTACATCTGGGATGGAACTGGAATTATGGGTTCATAGTAAGCATACTTAATTCCCTGTGGAGGTACGCCTTTGCAGTTACAAATAGGTAAGGTGACATGGGGTGATCTTGTCTAATTCCTGTCCTACCCTAGAAAGGTTTAGTTAATCCCCCATTGAGCACCAATGCATTTTTAGTTGAGTAACATCTGTTAAGATATTATCAAAGAGTATTTCAACTA